CTTTTTGATCCAAGTGCCTTAGTTGCTTTTCTCTGTGTGCCTGCGCTTTGGGCGAGTGGTGAACAATAAAAATCTGCCGGCGAGAGCTGTAGCAGAGGTCAGCCAGCTCCTGTGCCCCAGGCTGCTCTGTTGTCACTGCACAGTCGTGCTTTGTGCACAGGGGCTGTCAGCTTGGAAATCATGGTGGTTTTTTTCCCTTTTAAAACTATCCCCAGGCACTGGCGCAGGGTTTTCTGTGAGTGATGTACTGGGGAGGTATGGCACTCCTTTGTGCTTAAGGCAGTGGTCAGTGCCTGTTTCAGGGCATCTTGAAAGCAGACCCCTGGCTAATTATAAATCAAGGACAAAAGAGGGCAAATAGTGGCTGCAAATTGTGAATTTGTCTGAGCTCCTTTCTGAAAATGATTGTTGCAGGTTGTCAGTGTCCCTGCAGGCTTCCTAAAATGCAAACAAAGCACCCAACCCAACTTCCTGACCGTCACCCACGCTTTCAAGAGGCGCTTCGTTTTGCTGAATTGCTTGCTGCCATCCGTTGGCTCCTGGCTCTGCCTGTGTCCTTTTTGCCAGGTGCTGCTGGCAGCAGAAGAAGGGCAGTGTGAGCGATCCGGGCTGTGCCCAGCAGGTGAAGCAGTGGGGAGGTGTCTGGAGGCGCTGCCCCTTGGCGCAGTGTATGCAGTGTGCAGGCTGGGCTGGGTGGGATGCTTGCAGAGGGTGGTGGGTGAGGGATGCAGGCTGTACCCCTGCTCCCTTGGGTAGCTGTGGCCTGGAGGAGGTGGGGTCTCTGCTTTAAGGCAGAGCTGTATGGAGTGCAAACGTGAAGGGCAAAGCAGTGAGGAGGCCTGAAGCATTGTGTCCTGTAGAGGGAAGGAGTGGCAGGGCTTGGGGACTGCTCAGGTGGCGGGGTAGGGATGATTGTGGAAGTGCTGGCTGTTGTCCCCCTGCCCATGTACAGCTGAGCTGTGGGACTGCCTGTGGCAGGATGAAAGGAGATGGAGGTGAGCACGGTTCACGGTGCTTGTGGCCATGGGAGGGGGCCACCACAGGCTGCTGAATGGCTTCTAACAGCTGCTCAGGCTGGAGCACCCCACAGGTTGAGTCAGGGTGCTTCCCCTCGCTGGATGCTGCTGAGCTACAGAGGTACCTGAGCTGCTGCACCACAGCCTTCTGGTCACGCTGCTTAGGTCGTGCAGCTGTTTCTAGGGCAAATGAAGAAAGGTGGAGATATGTCTGCAGATTCCTGTCCTGAGGAAATGAAGGCTTGCACAAGCTTACTGTTTATTTGTGAGTCTTCTCTCTGCTTTGAACTTGCTGGCTGGTTTCAGTTAAGATCAGCAGTGCAGCAGCTATCTCAAAGGTCTGGAGAGGAAGAGACTGCTAGTTCTCCCTCTGCACTGCAGCTCAGCCTTGCTATTAGACATCAGAGAATCCACGTGGGAGAGAGATCGACAGGAAACTGGGTGTTATCAGTTCCGCTGCCTGTGCAGCTCCTCGCTCCTCATGTCAGCGTCTCCACGCGTGTGGCTGGAGGCGTTTGATGGGAGTGCTGGCAGCCCGGGGGTGTGAGTGGGTGGTGTGCGATCGCTGCGAAGGCGTCCTTGCCTCCCCTGCCAGCAAACTCAGCTCCACCAAGGTGTGCAAAGCGGGGAGGGAGCTCCTCTCAGCGGGAAAGCACCTCACCATGCAGCTCCTGCTGATGTTGGGGCGTCCCACGTCACCTGGTCTCTGTTGGGTTTTGGGTAGGGTGGGGGTTCTCCTGTTGTCTCCCCCTGAAGGCTGGGAACTCCTTAGTTCTTGGTACCGGTTTCTTCTTGCTTGTTTTGCAGATGGTGGGGAGGGGAGGATCTCTCCTGGACTTGGTGGAAAGGCTGGGGAGAGTATGTCTGGAAGCTGATGGCATGCTTCATGATGGCATGAGTGTTCAGGAGAGGCTGGGGGAGAGCCTGCCTCCACTGGGAGTCTTCCCCACATCGCTTCAATCGCCCCAGCTAATCCTGTGACAGACCTGACCTATATATGGGGCCGGGGAGGTGGCACGTCTGTAGCAGCAGATGGTGTCGCAAAGAGCTTGGGCTCAAGCAGGCTCCTGTTGTGCTGACCTCTGGCTCTTGTGAGGAAGAGGGTGGGCTGTGGTGATTCCGAATTCATCCTGTGCAGTTCTTTGTGACAAGAGCTGGGCATGTGCAGCCTTCACAGGTAGAGAGCTTCTGTGGAGGTTTCACTCTGCTCAGTGGCTGGAGCCACTGGTGTCCCTGGTGAAGGGCAGATGAATGGACTCAGGAGCCCTTGTCCTGGCCCAGAAGCACTGGCTAATGCCTGTCACTTGGGCTCCTTGTTGTGCTCCTCCATGCTTAAGCCCACATCAGGATGCAATCACACTGGTGGTCAGCAGTGGCCTTTTACATGGTGGCACATACCTGGAGCAGCATGATGTAGTGGTGTTTGTGTATACTGCTGTGTCCCCAAGGCAGGACAGGGCAGATGTGAGCTGAGCCACCTGTACGTGCCCTGTCCTCACAGGGGCTGCTGGGCAGGCGCACAGTGTGCCTCAGGAACCCACCTGGCCTGGCCAGGCACAGGGCATGAGCATTGCTCGCCAGAGAGCCATGTTCCATCACCTGCTTCTCCCACCGTTGTCCTGAGGACATTGATAGCTGCTGGCTGCCGGGGATCTGGTGCAGCTGGAACGTGCTGGGAGGGAGCGTGTGTACAGATATCTGTCATTTGGGCCTCTGTGTGCTGTTTAAGCTGTTCTTAGGGTCAGGCTGTGTCCTGGCCACCGTGTAAAGGTGCACTGCTATCTCTGCCAGGAAATAGTGGTGAGCTCAAAGTGCACGGTGCCATCTCCCTCTTTGTCCCTGGCTCCTGAAGCCAATAGTGGACACTGAGGGTGATCATCAGCCCTTCGCCTGTCCCCTCTTGGGGTGTCTGTCTGAACAGAGTCTGACCCCTGTCACAGCTGTGCTCTCTGGCCCCCGCCAAGGCATAGGAGCAGCTGTTGGGGCAGAAGGAGTTTGCTCTAAGCCCTGGGGAAGCCTTGAGGCTGCTGTATGTGCTGGTGTGTGCCAGGATTTGGGTGAGGAGGTGAGAGTAGGCAAAACGGCCTTGAGATGGGCCCGGAGGGATCCGGGGGCAGGAGAGAACCGAGCACTGCCACTCGGTGTGATGATGAGCTTACTGGATTGTTAAACCGTCGCCATGGCTCTGAGGTTTTCTTTAAAAGGGGTGACGTTACAAATTAATTATCTCCCTTTTGGTTGTTAGCACTTTAAAGCCCAGCTGTCAGGGGAGGGCTGTTTTACAGGCATGACATCAGGGCTGTCAGCTGGCTGGCTCTCATACCTGGGAGTTTCTCGGCGTGCCGTAAAGCAGCAGCCCGGCACGGACGCAGCGCCTGCTGTCAGCTCGGGCCGCGCTGCCCGCGGGCTCCGCCTCGTGCTCGGTGCCGGGGCGCGGCCCATGGGCTGGCCGGCAGCTCCCGGCTGGGCGCTCGGTGTCGCTCAGGGGTTCTCCCACGAGTTCTGTGCTGATTTAACTCGGCACAGAGAGCAGAGGCCGTCTTGAAGCAGTAGGCTTTGCCGGGGTCCCCAGACAAACCGGGCACAGATGCCGTGGGAGCCGCGCGTGCCCGGCAGGCGGTGGGCGCGGGCATCAGGAGAGGCCCTGAGCGGGACGCGGACACGTGTCGGTTCTCGGGGCCGGCGGCGGAGCTTCCGCGCCCACCGCCTCGTTTCTCCCTGCGTATCGACGCACCTCGCGGCGGGAGCGCGGGGGCGGCCGATCTGCCGTCCGCACGGCCCGCCCGGAGCGGCAGAGGGGCCGGAGGCCTGGAAGAGGCCTCAGGTAAGAGGGGTGCCGGGGCCCGGCGTGCCGCGGGGAGGGGCGCGCTGCCGGGGCCCCTGCTCCTTGCGGACCGTTGCTATGACAGCGCTCCTCCCGCGCGGCGGGGGGAGGAGGAGGGAGGGGGCGCTGCCCCGCGTGGCGGCCCAGCCCCGCGCCTCCAAGATGGCGGCGGAGCGTGACACGCCTGGTCACGTGGGTCGCGCGCGCGCCGCGCCGCCCGCTCGCTCCCCCTCTCCCCTCCCGCCAGGCGCGCGCGCCCCCGGGGCCTCCGAGTGTTGTGCCTCGGCCCGGTGCGTGCCGCCGCGCCTTAAAGGGGCCGCACCCCGTACCCGCACCCCGGCGGCGGCAGCCACGGCCCGCCCGCCCCGAGCCGCGGTTAACAAAGAGGCACCGGAAACGGCGGCGGCGGCAGGGAGGGGGCCGGCCGGCCGGGAGGGAGTGGGGGGGGGGGCAGGCCCGGGCCCGGCGTCGGCGAACAAAGAGCGGCGGGAGGAGGCGGGGGCGCCGCAGCGGCTCCCGGAGCGCGGCCCCGGTCGGCAGTGCAGGTAGGTCCGGAGGGGGGGGGAGCGGCTCGGGGAGCGGGGCGGGGGTGGACGCCGCCCCCCCCGAAGACCTCCCCGTCTCCGGCGGGGGCACCTGCCCCGGGGCGGCGCGGCGGGGCCCGGGGCCGCCTTTGTTATTGCTTTTGTTTGGCGCCGAGCACATGGCCCCGGAGCGGCCGCTCTTAAAGCCACAGCTCCGTTGAGCCCCGGCGCGCTCCGGGGGCCGTGCCCGGCTCGGAGGGTCCGTGCGTGGGGGTTACGGCCCCCGGGGTCGTCGGGGCGCGGCGCGGAGGGCGGCACTTCGGGCGGCGGCGGGGCCGAGCCGTGACCCTGCGCTCGCGCTGGGCCGGAGCCGGTGGGGGGCGTGGGGCCGTGCGGGCGGCGGTCCTCGGGCGGCCCCGGCAAATGGCACCGAGCGCCGCTAACTTTGTTCCCGTGCCCGGTGGCCGCCGAGCCTCGGCCGCGAGTGTCCGCCCCCACCGCGTCCCGGCCGTTGCCGCGGCCTCTGGGCGCTGACCCGGGGGGTCGCGCGGGGCCCGAGCACCGCGGGTGTGCGTGGGGTGAAACGGGAGGCGGTAAGCGGGGACGCGGGGGGGAGCCCGGAGCGGCGCGGTGAGCACAGACCGCGCACAGCTCTGGACCCCGCAGCGGTCGGACCCCAGCGGGAGCGCGGGCTGCTCTGAGGGCTCCTGCTGTGGCGGCTTTGTTTTTGCCCAAAAGAGAGAGATTTGCCCTCGGATTCAGAACCAGCATCCCAGGTTGGGGTGAGGGTAGGAGGAGATGCTCGGCACAGTGTCAGGCCGTCCCCTCGGTGTGACATGGCCATTTGTCCTTCTGGCGACGCCCCCAGCCTCCTGCAGTGCTGCTGCCCGGCTCTGTGCTCAGCCTGTGCCTGCATGGCCAGCGCATGGAGCGGCAGGAGGAAGGGCTGAAGCAGGCGCTGTGCAGGGAGATGGCCTCCAGCTGGATTTGGGGGTCAGCTTTGAGGCCAGAGCTGCTTGGATTGGAACTTGTGCCACCTTGTACTGCAGGGACACGGGAGGACGTCGAGCCAGGCAATGAGCAGCCCCAGGTGTGGAGCGGTGGCACTTCGCTGCGTGGCAGTGACATGGGGACACCCATGGGTGCAGGGCAGTGGAGCAGTGCCCTACTGGCAGCTTGCAGAGGGTGCAGAGCAGACACACAGGAGCCCTGCAGGAAAGAACACCCCCAGAACAGCACTGAACCCTGCTTGGCTGAGGACATGCTGGGAGCACCTGGTCCTATTAGCAGCCTAGGACAGTGCTGCAGTCACCAGCTTGCTTTTCTCTCTGCCAAAAACACGTGCTTCTGTCTCTCTTAGTGTCTGTGTCTTGCATGGGGGGGTCACACAGCAGAGGGACGGTGCCTGGGTACCCAATGGGGGCCAGGCTCTGCTGTCTCCAGCCCCAGGAGCGGTGGTGGGCCTGGGACTGGGTGCCTGGGCAGCAGGCTGGGCAGTGCTGGGGTCACACTGCAGAGCACATCTTGGGGTAAGGCTGCTGCCCGGAGCCAGCTCCACACCTCTACCTCCCCCATACCCCATATCAGGGAGGATTTGGGGCTCCTGTTCATGCTCCAACCCCGTGCAATCCTGGGGGCTTAAGAGACCATGACCTGCTGTTGTTCTCACAGGATCCAAGGTGCTGGTGTCTTGCCCTGCCTGGAGCCTGAGGTCCTGCGTGCTCATCCGCCTCCCGACGTCACCAATGCGACCATGGGAACTGGCAGTGAATAGGCGGCCTCCCTCTGCCCCTTTTAACCAACGTCGTTTCTCAGGGGGACCCTGCAGCAGCCCTGACCACCTCCGGCGAAGGTATGGGGCAGCACGGAGTCCCAGTGGCCATCGTGGCTGTGTTGGGACACACCGTGGGTTACAGCCTGCTGGGGCAGCCACCAGCACCTGGCGGGTTGGGGGAGCTCAGGGTGGGGAGCATGGCCAGGGGGAACATGTGGGGTCCTGTGCTGAGGACACACACAGGGCAAGTGGAGCTCGACGTTGGCAGCCAAATGAGGAGCCCAGCTCTGAGCATTGCACCGCTGGGCGCTGACCCTGCCTGGGGGTCACTCCTGCTCTGTTTCTCTCCTGCGGTGGCTCCGCAGCCCCCCTGCCAGGCGTCAGTGGGGACGACGCGACCGACCTCTGGCAACCCTGCTGGGCCAGGATGAGACCCAGCTGCACCCTGCCTTCCCCCAGCAGCCGCACATCCCTGTAGATGAGCCCCGCGCCTACGCTCTCCCCAGCACACCACCACGAATGCTGCACCCGGCCGCTCACCCACCCCACCAGAACCCATTCATGGTGGATCTTCATGACCAGGTAGGTGCTGCAGGAGCAGCTCTGGTGCTGAGAGTGATTGTGCACTCATACCGTGTTGTCCAGAGGCAGCTCTAGGAGAGGGACCTGTGATATGTCCTGTGGTCCCCTCTGGTGGTGGTGGGGTGGGAGCCCATGTCACCCTGACCGCTGGTTGCAAAGCGAGGTCCAAAACTCACGTTGAGCCCTGCATTATGCTGGCCATGTCCCAGTGCTGGGTGCTTTCTGCCCTGCTGCTGCCCCTCCAGGATGGGGACAGCCCAGCTGGGACTGTGTCCTCTGCCCACATCCTCTGTGCCTTGTCCCCAGGTGCACCAGGGACCTGTCCCTCTCTCCTACACGGTCACAACCGTTACGACGCAAGGCTTCCCCATCCATACCAGCCAGCACATCCCTGGGTGCAGCACCCAGCAGCTCCCAGCATGCTCAGTGATGTTCAGTGGACAGCACTACCCGCTCTGCTGCCTCCCACCCCCGGTGAGTCACGGTGGGGACAGAGAAGGGGACACCTGGCGGTGACCATGGGTTGCCTGAAGGCTGCGTGGGTGCCACCCCAGAGCACAGGGGCTGTGGGTGTGGGGACTGTTTGATGCTCTGGGGCAGACAGAAGTGCCCCTGACCCACATTTCTCTCCAAACCCCGCAGTTGATCCAGGCATGCGCCATGCAACAGCTCCCAGTCTCCTACCAGACGTTCCCTCCAATCATCTCCAGCGACCATTACATCCTGCACCCGCCCCCGCCGCCAGTGCCCCCCCACCAACCGCCCCACATGGCTCCCTTGGGGCAGTTTGTGCCTCTCCAAGCCCAGCACCCACGAATGGTGAGTCGGGGTAGGGTTGGGGAGGTGTTGGTGCTGCAGAGCCAGGCATGGGGCTCTGGAACAGGGAGTATGATCTCTGTGCAGCCCCCCAGGTGGGATGCATGGGGTGCAATGCCGTGCTAAAGCCAGTGGATGAAATCTGAGACACCCTTTTCAGCCTAACAGTTTCCCCTACAGCCTCTGCAGAGGATAGACAATGATGTGGACCTGCGAGGGGAGCAGCACCCCATCACCGGCTTCACGTACCCCCCATCCCACCATGCTCCCACGCTCTCCCCCTCCGTGCCGCTGCATTACCTCCCCCATGACCCGCTGCACCAAGAGCTGCCATTCGGCGTGGTAAGTCCCTGTCTCGATGCTGGGGGATGCAGGAGCTGCGGGCACGGCCCTGAGCCCTCATCTCTCCCCACAGCCATACCCCCACATGATGCCCCGGCGGCTGAACACCCAGCGGTACCGGCTGCAGCAGGCGCTGCCCCCCCCGCCGCCCCCTCCACCGCCCCCTCCGTACTACCCGAGCTTCCTGCCCTATTTCCTGTGAGTACTGGGGGGGTGGCAGGGATGTGGGAGGCGTGGGGTGTCATGGTGCTTCTGTCCCCACCGAGGCACCCGCGCTGAGGGCCCCATCCTCCCCCCATGCAGCTCTATGCTTCCTGTGTCGCCGACGGCCGTGGGGCCCACGATCAGCCTGGACCTGGACGTGGATGACGTGGAGATGGAGAACTACGAGGTGTGTGGCTCTGCTGCCCTGTGGGGTGACCTTGGCGTTCCGGGGTGCCTCCACCGGGGCTGAGCCGTCCGTATCTCCCGCAGGCGTTACTGAACCTGGCCGAGCGGCTGGGGGAGGCCAAGCCACGGGGACTCACCAAAGCAGACATCGAGCACCTCCCGTCCTACCGCTTCAACCCTGAGAGCCACCAATCCGAGCAGACCCTGTGAGCGAGCTGCGGGGGCTGGGGACGGGGCTGTCGGGGGAGGGTCGGGGCTGGGGCCGGGCTGACGGCCGTCCGTCCTCCCAGGTGCGTTGTGTGCTTCAGCGACTTCGAGGCCCGGCAGCTGCTCCGCGTCCTGCCCTGCAACCACGAGTTCCACGCTAAGTGTGTCGACAAATGGTTAAAGGTGAGCGGATAGGGCTGCGGATGCCGCCAACCCCGGTGGGCTTCGGGACCCCCCGTTCACCGCCCCTCTTCTCTCCTTGTCCCCCCAGGCGAACCGCACGTGCCCCATCTGCCGGGCGGATGCGTCGGAGGTGCAGCGGGAGGCGGACTGAGGCGGGCGGGCGCCGTGCCACACAATTGGTTACAGGATGAGGACGTCGGGCCAGGGGCGGGGGCCGCTGCCCGCTGCCAGGGCCCGGCCGTGCGCTTACCCCCCTCCCCAGAGCCTCTCCTCGGATGCGGTGAGCGCTGAGCAGCCCGGGCTGCGGCCAGCCCTCCTCCTCCGCCGTGGCTCGGAGCGCTGCGGGGCCGAATGGTGTTTGCTGGTGGCGGCCGCCTGTGTCCTCCGCACTGCAAAGACGCTGTCGTCGCTCCATCACTTTCCAGGTCTTTGTACTCCGCTAGGGATTATTATTTCCCCCCCGCCCCCGTTTCTCTTTTGTTTTGTTTTTAGGGTAGGTTTTTTTTTTTTTCTCCTTCCGTTTCCTTTTCCGTCGCGTTTCTTTGGTCCTGTGGCCGCTCTTCCCCTCGGCGGTGGGAGGAGGGCGGAGGGCGCACCGTAGCCGGGTGCCGACGGGCCCGGGGCCGACGTGGGGCCGCTCCCCACCGCTCCGTGTCCTTCCCAGGCGGGAGGACGGCCCCGGCCCCGAGCCCCGCTCACTCCGAGGCGGTCAGGCCCGGCGGGGAGCTCAGCGTGGAGGCCCGGTTCGCCCCCCGGGCTCCCGAGCGCCTCATCCTGCGGGCCGGGCGGCGCGGCGCGGGGTTTTGCCGCGACCTCGCGGTGGTTTCTGCCGCTCGGCGCCGCCCCGGCGATGCGCCGGCCGTCCCGGCGGTGCGGCCCGAGTCATTTTGCATGATTAATTAGCGAGGAGGGGGGGGGCGGGAAGGAGGGTCGCTCCCTCCCCGCGTTGCCGACGCCTGGGAGGCTCCGCGCGCGGCCGCCAGCCCTATGTAAATGTTCACAAATATGCATGCATGTCTGACCAGCTTGGAACGTGGTCTTGGCTACGTCTAGCCGGCTGTGGGGTGAGGGGGGTGGGGAGAGGGGTTTTTGTGCTCAGCTGATACTGCCATGCACTGTACTGCACATGTCCGCAACGCCACTGCAGGACCGTGAGGCTTTCAGGGCCGTCCCCGCGGCGGCGTGTGCAAGGGGCCGCTCCCCGCGGGGCGGGGCCGGGCGGCGGGGCTGGGCCCCGGCGGCGAAGGGTCGGCGGCCGCGGCGAGGCGCGAGGAGCGGGCCGCGCCCGGCGGGTGTGGGCGGCTTTGGGGCTTTCCCTCGCATCCCGCGCCCTAGGCGCGGAGCGGAGCGTCGATCTCCGGTTGGCCGGGGAGCGCCCGCCGCCCATCGGCGGGAAGCCGCGCGCCCCGCTCTCCTCCGATCGGCAAGCGAGCGCCGGTCTCCACCCGGCCGATCGAGCGCGGAGGGCGGCGGGAGGCGCGGCGCGATCGGTCGGCTCCCCTTTTGCCTCCCTTTCTCGGCCGCGTGCCCGCCGTCGAGGCCCGGGCCGGGCGCTGCGGCTCCGCCGCGCCGCCGGCACCGCTGGGCTCGGTGCCCCCTGGGCAGGACCCCGGCCCTCCCCGTCCCTCGTTCAGTGACAGATAACCAAAGGAGTCCCCGTGCCGCGCGGCGGCCTCGCGCCCCGGAGACGCCCCCCCCACGTCCCCTTCCGCCCTCGCGGTGCCCAGGGAGCCAGGAAAGCCTTACGGTCCTTTGACGGCGACTCGAAAGCTCACAGCTCGTGTGCTGCAGAATTTATTCCGATGAGCAGCTACAAGTATCATTTAAGAAGAATTACAAAAAAAAAAAGAAAAAAAAAAAAAAAAAAACAAAAACAAACCCAACAAAAAATTTAGGGTGTTTGTGATTGCTGACTGCGCTGTAGATACCACTGTTTACCAATGATTTCCTGTGGTGGGATAGTGGACTGTTTACTGTTCTATATACCAGTCCGTGGGCCTCCGGGGCGAGCGCCGCTCCCCGGCAGGTGCCAGGACGTGTGTTCTGTGTTAGAAAGTTTTTATATATATATATATATATATATATATAAATATATATATATAATTTTTTTTGCTCTGTTACTTGCACATTTTACAGTTACCTCATTTTTCCCATGTATGTATTTGAAAAAAGGCTAATATATAGAAAAAAAAAAAAAGGTTCTTAAAGCTCTAAAAGTGTTTGGTTTTTTTTCCATTCCATTGGAATCATATTGGTTTTGTAGCATTTAACATAACTAGTATGTTGTATTATATATATGTGTATTATACTGATTGAAATTTTTAACAGATTTGTACTTTTTTTAAAATGAAAGTTGCTAGTTCTGCTTGACCAAGTAGTGCAATCATTATTTTTTTTAATGTTGTGGCTGATTTTGAGAGGGATATTCACTAATAAATGTATGATGTATACCAAGGCGCTGCGCCCGGCTGCTGTCGTGGTGTGGGCAGGCAGGGGCTGGGCTGGGCTGCCTGCAGGATCCCCCCTTCTCCAGCACGAGGAAGAGGCCCCACCTGCTGTGCGGGCAGTTTGGCAGCCCAAGGCCGAAGGCAGAGCTGCTGCCGCTGCCATGGGCCCCACGGGCAGCAAGGGAACGGGCGTTCCTTTAGGAGAAAGAGGAGGAAGGTCTCTCCCTGTTGAAGAGGAACCAGGGTGCGCTCTGCAGCAACGTGAGCAAGGAGAGGCGTCCTCTTCTCCCCTGCATGCTTCGTGGAGGCTGCACCAAGTGAAACACCTCGGCCCCATCCCACAGAGGGCGGGAGGAGCCGTAGGGAAGGAGGAGGCCCTGCTCCCTCCCCGTGGCCAACAGCTCCCCCAGCAGCAAGTCTCCCAGGCAGTAGGCTTATGCCCCCCTCCTTCAGCCCTCTGGGCTGCCCTTACTCCCCTCTGCCTCCATCAGGGAGGCCTGTCCCTGAGCAAACAACAGCTCTCCCTTCCACTCAGCCCAGGACATGGATGCTGCAGCCCAGCAGCAACCCGCCCCACCTCCCCCCCCCCCCGCTGCACACACTCCATTTGTCTTCAGCAGTTCTGCTGGCACATCATAACCAGTAACTGAAACGGTGGCCTCAAACCAGGCCAGAAGTTGGGCAAACCCACAGTGCTGGGAGCAGCAGCCATAGCGGCCCAGCAGGAGCTCCGTCCACCGCACTCTGTTTCAGCTGGCAGCACGGCAGTGTGGCGTAAGCAGAAAGCATCGGCACAGACATGCTAGAGGCAGAGTTTATTACACTACGCAGGCTAAGAACCCTGGCAAGGTCCCACACAGGTAAGAATCGAACCAGCTCTTTATCAAAAAGTTAATACTATAGTCAACCCCATTCTCCTTTGGTCATTACAAAGCAAGAGAAATATTAAAAGAAAAGTATTTATACAGAGAGGGAAGCTGAAGAAATTCTGTCCAGCCCTTTCCCAAACCCCACTTCCAGCACATTCAGGTGCCTGGTCTTCTGGCTGGCAGGAGCAGCAGAGTATCAAATTCTCACAAGATATCGGGTTGTTGGGGTTTTATTATTATTGTCATCAATAAAAGCAATAATTACCAAGAGCTGCCATTCCTGTTCCTCCCCTAGGAAGGGAGAGGGGCAACACCACATCCCCTCCCTCTCTGCCCTCCGAGTGTAGGGGATGGCTGTGTACACGGGTGCGTGAGGACGTGCACACACTTCCTCTTGCCAGTGTGCACACACACAGCACGGCTGGCACAGGCATTGTGGTCTCTGATCCCTCATTTGTACGCAGTCTTTAAAAAAAAATATTGTATTATAATAATAATATGAATTTCTCTTCCAATTTGTGTCTTCTGGAAAAATGTCAATCGTCCGTGAGGTCCTGCACAAAGAGGACTTCCGTGTGGCTGAGTCCGGCCTCCTGCAGCGTGGGGGGGTTGGGCCACTCCTCTGTAGGGAGGCAGGGCAGGACACGGCGAGGGAAGTTGGCTTCGATCTGGAACTTCTCAGGGCTTTCTTTCAGGGAGAACAGGAAGTCGTGGATTACCTGGGAAAGAAGCACAGAAATAGCTACCAGCCAGGGAAGCCATGATGCAGCCAGAACACATCCATGGTATCTCATAGGGAAGGGGTTAAGTTTGGAAATTCACACCATCTGCGTTGTAGAAACAACACAGCCATCATCTGAGCGTGCATGAAATCGGACTTGTCATGGAGTACCATCTCTGTCTCTTCCTATACCCCTGATTTAACAGGGAGCAATGAGAGCCTCAGCTTTTCAGAAGAGTATTTTTCTTCCATCTTTTTCCATAATCTTTTTCTTCCAAATTGAAGAGGTTGGGTCCATGGACACCCTACTTACCCAGAAACAACTCTAAGCAAAGGTCAATGGAACAAAAGCTTTGTCAAGCCACTTGTGGAACCTCACAACCCAATCCACAACGAGAAGCCCGTCAGCTCTGCCCCAAGCTCACCGTCAGTGACTGTGTGAAGTGGAATCGCCGCTCCACTCTGGAATCGTTAGGCAGCTTGAAAATGATCTTCACACTCTCTGGGTCATCAGGATGTGGCTCAGGAGGAAGGCATTCCGACTTCCGTTCCTTCTCCTCCTGCAGCGTCTGCAAAGTACAAAGTGAGGAAGGAGCAAAGCAGCACTGGGTGTGCACCAAGCCGGCCTTTTTGCTTGTCCCTGGCAGCACAGCTGCTCCAGGAGGCTTGGAGGATACACGAACCCGAAGGCAAGACTAGCAACTCCAGTCTGACAGGAAAGTCCTACTGCAGACACTGCTCCTACACACAGTGAGCATCCAAAAGATGTCAGCCTCTCCAGCAGTCAATTTGCACTCACCTGTCGCCGTCTCTCCTCTGCCAGTTTTTGCTGCTGCACTTCCTCCTCCTTTTTCTTCTTTCTCTCCCGTTCTTCCTTCTTCTTACGTTCTTTTTCCTGGTCTGCACGCAAGGATGCCAAATAAGCCTCATCTTGCTGCTGTCTCAGTACTTGGGTTTGGTTCCTCTCTTCCCTACAAACACGAGCAGGAAGTGATCAGGACTAGCAGGCCAAATAATGAAGGCAAAGCAGGCTGATAGCACAGCCTCAAATTCTCAGGAGCACATACGTCAGGTAATAATTCATTTAGAGTGCACAGTACCATGAACTCCTAGAAGGCAAGCTGAGTCTCTGCACTCCCTGGCACACAAACTCCTCCCCTAGGTTGAGTTGAGATTAATTGAGCAAAAGATTTGTCACCCACTGCAGTCTGGCAGAACAGACAGACACCATATAAGCAGTGGCTATAATGTCAGCACCACACTTTACACTCCCCAGGGCTTTCTCTCCATCAGATTAACTCCTCGTTCATAATAGAAGCAAGGAGCATCAACATGTGCTATGGGATCCTCCACAGAGAAGGGACAGACAGGAAACCAGAAGGTGACATCCCACAATGGAGAGCCTGCAAATTATTCCCACAGTTATCAGGGACAGGAGCTCATGTTAGCAAGGCACCAGCGGCAACGCAGCAAATGCTGTTAGAATTCATGACAGCCAGCCTAGGCAGCACCACTCAAAAAGAAGCTGGCTGCAAACACGAGCTCTCCTCCAACTCCTTCCTTCCTGCTTGGCTTCTGCTGACTATTTCCGACCTTTACCTGCAGCTCCAGCACACTGCAGGTTTGCTCCAGTTGCAGAGAACAGTAGAACAGTCAGCCCCACCTCTCAGTAGCGGGCCTGTATGGGCAACACACCAAAC